ACCCTATGCAAGCAGAAAGGGATCAAGAGGATGATCTCTCTGCCTTATGCCCACGAACAGCAGGGATTGGCCGAGAGAACCAACAGGAGCCTCGCGACAAAAATGCGAGCCCTCATGAAGCAGTCGGCTGTGCCAACCAAGTACTGGCCCTTCGCAATGGCACATGCAGTTCGGTTGCACAACGATCTCTCCTCGAAGGCACTGCCCAACAACAGTTCACCCTTCAAGGAATGGACTGGAAAACACCCTGACACTCGCATGATGCGAGTCTTCGGGTGCATGGTACAGTACCGCCCTCACACTGCCCGAACCGGAAAATTTGAAGATCGCGCTCGCTGGGGCATTCACCTCGGAATCGAATCCGAATATCACGCCTGGAAAATCCTGGACTTCGCCACCCACTAGCTCACGCGTTCACGTGACTGCATCTTCTACGAAAGACTGACTCTGCCACTGTACCGCCAGCACCGCACTGCACAGAATGAACCAGACAGCATTTGCCAAGGACAGCACAGCTTCGCCAATGACGAGGACGACGTTGACGTGGCAGGAGAACAACCGACCGAGCCAGCAGCAGACATGGCAGACGAGGCAACCTTCATCCCCGTTACGGAGCAATTCAGCACTCCTGCATACTTCCCAACAAACATCGATCCTCATGAAGCAGTACAGGCACAGCACGATTATGCAAGCGCAGAAATGCACTCACCCATGAACAAGGATCCCAGTCACGACTCCTCCCGCGACACCCTTCGCGACATCCCTGGCGACGACGACGACGTGGTCGAAGTTACCACCACAGCCGAAACCAACCTCACGGGCCTTCGCATCCTCGGCCTCGCTGTCGCCGTACGGAGTAACCAGCAGCTGGTCGAGCCCACCACCGTCCGCCAGGCTCTCAACGGGCCCGATGCCGAGAAGTGGAGAGCCGCCATGGCCGCGGAGGTCGCTGCACTCCAACGCCGCGGCACCTGGAAGCTGGTACCACACTGCCACGCAAAGGGGAGAAAAAACCTTACAGGGAAGTGGGTCTTCCGCATCAAGACTCTCGCGGACGGAACGGTCGAAAAAATCAAAGCACGCTGGGTGGTTCGCGGATTCGAGCAGACGCAATTTGTGGACTACAACCAGACATTCGCACCTGCCGGTCGTCATACCTCAGTGCGCATCCTTGTCTGCATCGCCGCCGTGAAACATCGCCCACTCCGTAAAATCGACGTCTCCAATGCATTCCTCTACGCGATCGTCGACACCATCATCTACGTCGAACAGCCGCACGCATTCGAGGAAGAAGGCGACGCCATCTGTCTCCTTCAAAAATCCCTGTACGGGATCAAGCAGGCACCACGCCTGTGGCAGCAGCATCTTCACGGCATCCTCATCGAGCTCGGTTTCCAGCAACTTCCCCACGACCAGGGGATGTACCGTCTCGAATCCCGCGGCCACTTCATCCTGCTCGTCGCCTACGTCGACGATCTCCTCTACACCGGAGACGACACAGACCTACTCGATCGCTTCGAACGCGAAATTCAGGAGAAGCTCGAGGTCACGATCGACCATGAGGTCACACAATTCCTCGGCCTCAACGTCACTCAGACCGCGGATACAATTCATCTCTCCGCCGCAAAGTACGCCGAGACCCTCGCTAAGAAGTTCGGGATAGCTCCCGTCGGCGTCACCACCCCGTTCCGCATTCCTCCGCCTAACCACGAGCCTGACACTACTCCGCTCTCACCGGCTGATCTCCGTCTCTACCAACAGCAGCTCGGATGTTTATTGTTCGCCGCCGTCACATGCCGCCCGGACTTATCCTACATCGCCAGCCAGCTCGCCCAGTAGGTCTGAAGGGGAGAACCTAGCAGACCTGCGCCGCGCCTTACAGTACTTCATCTCTACGCCTGATGTCGGTCTCACCTACAAGGCCAACTTAACAGCGCCACTACAACTCACCGGCTATGTGGACGCTGACCACGCTGGGGACGCAGACAACAGGAGGTCCCGCACAGGCTTCATTTTCAAGCTCGAGCCTGCAGGAACCATCTCCTGGAACTCCAACAAACAGGAACTCATCGCCCTCTCGTCAGCAGAAGCAGAATTCATCACAGCAAGCGCAGCAGTTCGCGAAGGACTTTATCTCACGGAGCTTCTGCAGGAAACGAAAACGGCGATGAACGGATCCTTTAAGTTACTCTGCGACAACCAGAGCGCGATCAAAATCGCAAACAAGCCAGGTTTCGTCAACCGCACAAAACATATCGCCCTGCGTTACTTCTTCGTGAAGGACGAAATCGACAAAGGGAAAGTTCAGCTTATCTACTGTCCAACTAGCGAAATGGCAGCTGACTTCCTCACGAAGAAACTGCCACGTCAGAAGTTTCAGTACTGCTCGGACCTGTGCGGAGTGACCCGCAAAAGCCACCTGGCGCACCTCCAGGAATGAAGGGGAGTGATGGAGTGTGAAGGGAATTATACTTAGCATTCCCGTAGGTGCAGCAGTATCGCACCTGACTTTGTCGAAGCAGCAACAACCGCAGTATCGGATCAGCCCGTATCAAGGGCAGGAAGGTCAACAATCGCAAGAGTCAACTGTCGCGACTGTCGACCATCTGGACCGACGCTTGACTTGCCATCGAGGAAAAGCAACAGGCGTAACCGTACAGGTTACATGCAGCGACTCGGTAACAAGAAGGAAGTACAACAGTCAGAGTCACTGTAGAAATGCTTGTAAAACATTTATAATAAGGGAATGTACCCCTCAGAGTACATGGCTAGACTAGGACTATTTATATTCCTTGTATTCTATTGCTTAATCAACTTGGTCATTTACATTCACTATGATCTGAGTTCTTACAAGACTTCCGCTACCAACTCTACTAAAGTACCTCCTATCCTATCCAAGGTCCTCACTCTAACACTACGATCCTGAAAAGGGCTACGTCCCTTAACCAATTCTACGGGTTTCAAACCCATTTCAACAGTTTCCAACAGCATGAAGGCACTGGATCCAAAGTGGTGTTTTGTGTTGTTTGAGTCATCCGCAAATCGCGCATGCCCGGAACAGTGCCCATGACCCGAACCTGGATACCAGGGCCTATGTTTGGTTTTTGGCTACTCACGATTAGCAGTGTAGCCTTTTTCAAAACCCTTCTGATCAGTGTGTAATTTTCCGTTACACTTATACATCAGTGTAACATTGAGTTTCGAAAAAAATACCCCAGAGCATCAGTGTAGTATATTTGTGTACCCTTATCGCATAAAACATTTGTAGTAAATTGGGCGCTGGTGGGTGGGGGTTGTGGGGACCTCGAGTCCCAAATTTGGGACTCGTGTCCCCAAACCCACGTTTTCGCCGAGTCAGCAAGCTTCCCGGGGGGAACGTGGGTTTGGGGACCTCGAGTCCCAAATTTGGGACTCGTGTCCCCAAACCCACGTTTTCGCCGAGTCAGCAAGCTTCCCGGGGGGAACGTGGGTTTGGGGTCCTCGAGTCCCAAATTTCCGAGTCAAGATAAAGTTTTTGCAGTGAGTGCAGATTTGACCAATCAGGTTGCATCGCCTCTACAGTAGGTTGCAAGCAGGCATGGAGTGACGCGGTGTCGGTTGTCAGTACTCACGTGCTGACGTCGTAGTACATCATTACGAAATTGAGTGTATCGTGACGAAATTTCGAGGAAACTTCGTCTCGATGAGCAGAGTTTCGAGGGGGGGGTGTCCCGTACGCCCTTAAGGGTAATCTTCGCTAAGGGAAAATTTACCCCAGAGCATCAGTGTGGCCTAAATCGTTTCACTGTCAAATCAGTGTAACACTAATTTTCAAAAAAATTACCCAAACACATCAGTGTAGGCCCTAAATTTCACCCTTCTCATCAGTATAGCAGTGTGATTTACACTGATAAAATAGGCCCTGCTGGATACGCCCTAATATTTTTCAAACAGGTTTCACAGAAAATATCCCGCATAGCCAGTGCGAGTCCCATCCGCTCATCTCACAGCGTTAAAGGGGTGCACAAGCTGTGCAGGGCAACGAAAATTGCCCAGGAAAATTACAATTTTGGCGAGTTTCTGCACCTACGGGCTAGACCTCGAGGTGCTTGGCCGTTGGATGCAGCTGCCAATTCGGGTTGCGTGCCCAAAATGTTTGGGTCAGTGCTGCACATCCACGCTGATGCTTCTCAAAATGTTTTGGTCTGCCCCCCGCGTAAACATCTTAAAGCTTGCCTCGCAGATACCTCTCGCCCGGGACATCCCTTCGTGGTAATTTGAAGGGGGTGCAATCCTGCGCCGAAGCCTCTGAGCGCATTAATTGTCCGTTGTTGGCGCAATACTAATGCGCCAACAGAACGCAACGCAGCCAATGTGCCTTCGCTCATTGTATTGTTTAATTTAGATAGTGCAATTTTAGCTGGCTTTCTCAATTGCACTAGTAACAACGTGTTACAACCCAGGTCTAATAAATTAGTGATCCACGCACACACCTCCCCCCCCCCCCCCCAACTTTCCAACATCAATCTGAGCCTACGAATGCATCCTTTGCCACGCACCATCACAACTATCATACGTTTGACCCTCCCCCGCTAGCCCACTGGAATGGCGCATGACCGTGCGACTGCTTCTGAAGGTTGCCGAAAACTTATATACTCATGGTGAGGTTTGCGTGTAAACCATGCGCTGTAACGCGTACGGCTCGCTCCGGGATGTAGCTGCTTGGCGTGTAGCAAGCAGTTAGGGTTAAACCCGTCGCGTCAATGGCGGCGAATGCTGCGTCGAGCGTAATTCCGCGAGGCCGCAAAGGCAGCGGCGGCGCAAGCTCGTCTCTGCGCTTCCACTACGCTTCTCGCCCCGCAGTTCCCCCGAGCAGCCGAGGCGACTTCTGTTTTGAGTGACTCGAATCTCACCCAAGCAGCCGCTCCTGCCCGGCGCTGCCTGCATGGTGGTTCCCCTCGCGCGGGGGTCACCCCTTCGCCGGGAAATGCGGTTCCGCGGGCTGCTGCGGGCGGCCAGTGATGCCGCAGTCTTTGCGCCCGCACTCGTCGCCCGCACTTGTCGCCCGCACTCGTCGCCAGCACTCGTCGCACGCACTCGTCGCCAGCACTCGTCGCACGCACTCGTCGCCCGCACTTGTCGCCCGCACTCGTCGCCAGCACTCGTCGCACGCACTCGTCGCACGCACTCGTCGCACGCACTCGTCGCACGCACTCGACGCAGGCGCACTGCGAGACTGGCGGGTGAAGCATGGGGGGCCAGAGAAGCCCCAATGCTAACAAGCGTTGACCGGCGACCTTGGGGACGAGGCGCTGTTGGGCGCTTCTGTCGAGCGGAATCAGAAGCCGCAACGTGCGGTGCGGAGGAGCACTGGACGGCCCGCGCTGGGCTCACGAGCCCAGCAACGGTCTCCCTGAAACATCCCCTCTGACTGTGGCCCCCACCTCCCCACCTCCCCCCTCCCCAATCCCCACCTCCCCACCTCCCCCTCTCCCCCTATCCTCACATCCTCGCTCCACACCGCACAGCCTCCCTGCGCACGCGGCAGCCGGGAAGGCATCTCCTCGCTGGCCATGGGCGCATCTCCTCGCTGGCCACGGGCGCATCTCCTCTGCAGGCCGCCTCGCTGTGTCTTCATGCCTCTCCCCTGGGACAGCCTTTCAGGCGCCTCAAAAGTCCTCTCCCGTGGAACAGCCATAACAGCGGGCAGCACTGACGCACCGTGCAGCGCCATCAGGCGTGGAAACGCGCCTTCACTTCACTCCACCAACCCCCATGGATTCAACTCTCCCCATCCCCCTCTGCGCATGCCATGCCCCCAGGGGCGTCAACCAGGACGGGACGACTAAACTAAACCCCTCCACACTCCTGTGAAAGCGCGTTTCATCCCTTCCAACCACCCACATCAGCCCAACTTGCCCTTTCTCACCCTCCACGCATTCCCCTCCCCTTCCCGGGGGTGTGAAGTGAATGAAGATGGGCAGGTGCGCACTGGCGCGCTGGTGCACCCAGCAGCACCACAAGGCCGGGAGAAGCGCCATTCTACCCCCCCGCCCCTCCACACTGCCCTCCATGCATCCCCCACCCCCCCTCTCTCCACCTCCCCAAGGGGTGCGAACGAGGAGGGACAGCTGCGCACGGGTGCACTGGCGCACTCAGCAGCACCACAAGGCAGGGAGAACTGATATTCCAAACCCCCACCCCCACCACCATCCCCCTCCCTCCCTCCCTCCCCAGGGGAGCGAACGAGGATGGGCAGCTGGGCACGGGTGCACTGGCACACTCAGCAGCGCTGCAGCTGGTGCCGGCGCTGGCAGGGGCGGATGTGGTGCAGCTCGTGGGCGGCAGCAGGAACTCCCTCGCTCTCACACAGGACGGCCGGGTGAGAGGTAGCAGGTCAGGTGCCAGGTCAGGTGCCAGGTCAGGTGCCAGGTCAGTGTGCTTGCTTTGCTTGGGCTGGGTGAGATCAAGTGTGATTGTTAGGAACGTTGCTTTGTCATCCTGTAAGCCTCTGGCGCTGGCAGCAGCGCCTGTGGTGCAGCCCATGAAAGGCAGCAGCGTCTGTGGTGCAGCCCATGAAAGGCAGCAGCGCCTGTGGTGCAGCCCATGAAAGGCAGCAGCGCCTGTGGTGCAGCCCATGAAAGGCAGCCAGAACACCCTTGCCCTGACGCAGGATGGCTAAATGAGTGTAGGGCTGTGTGTGAAGGAGGTCAGGGGAGGTGTGTGTGTGTGTGTGTGCGTGCGTGCGCGCGCGCGCGCGCGCGTGTGTGTTTGTGTGCGGGCGTGCGTGCGTGCGTGCGTGTGTGTGTGTGTGCGTGCGTGTGTGTGTGTGTGCGTGCGTGTGTGTGTGTGTGTGTGTGTGCACGCGCGCGCGCGTGTGCGTGTGCGTGTGTGTGTGCGTGTGTGTATCTGTCAAGAGGCAAGGCGACCTGCATGTAGGTTGGTACTCCATTGATTGGCAGTAGCAGAAACTTAGATAAGCAGCGTTATTGCTGGCGTCGGGCTTCTGCTGCACTGCGCCTCGCATGTGCATTTCCACATTCCTAAACCCTCTTTCGCACTCCGCTTGCTTCGCCTTCGTACTCCCCACACCACACCTGCCGTTCTCCATACCAGCCTACCAGCGGGCCACTATCAGTGCTCCTGTACCCACTTCGCTTCACCCATTTGACGGCGTTCATTCAAGCTCCCCTAGGGATGAGCAAGGGGCGAACACGAACATGTTCGTGTTCGCCCCTAGACGAACACATCCGTTTGCCGAACCGAACACTGTTCGGTTCGGCGAACACTTTAAGCAAAAACACGTGTTCGCCGTTCGCCTGTGAAGGTGTGTTCGGGCGAACCTCGAACACGTTCGTGTTCGTCGCGGGGCAAATTGCAGCAGCGGCCCGAACACGAACGTGTTCGGGCGAACATCGAACACTGTTCGGCGAACAATTTAAGCAAAAAAAACAAACCTGTTCGGTTCGCCTCGAACACGTTCGAGGCGAACCGAACAGGTGTTCGCCCTTGTGCTCATGTCTAAGCTCCCCTCCCCTCCATCTAAGGATGGAACTAGCACTTATTTCCAGCCCCCCTCTCTCCCCCCCGCCCCACCTCGTCCTCCCCAAACCCCCCCCTCATCCACCAGGTGTTCGTGTGGGGGTGGAATCAGCGCAGCACGTTGGGCCATCCGCCCGCCCCGGCCGCCCCGCGAGAAGCCGTCCCCTGCCAGGTCAGGTGCCAGGTCAGGTGCCCTAATCAGGTGTCAATCCCAACCTGAATCAGGAATTCTGAACCGTGCCAGCTGCCTGCCTTCCTGTCCAAGCATGTCACTCTGGTCGCCACTTAAATCTTGCCACACAGAAGCTCCCACGCCGCCGCTGCACCATGTAAGAGCTCAAGAGTGACCTCACATGCCGTACACTCCTTCCTCCTTCACGTGCGCCAAAGCCCATGCCGTGTGTGCCCGTGGTAAACGTTTCCTTGCTCCCATTCCACGTGCGTCAAAGCCCGTGCCGTGTGTGCCCGTGCCTTGAGTGCGCATGGTAAACGTTTCCTTGCTCCCGTTCCACGTGCAGGTGGAGTCGCTTAAGGACGAGAAGATCGTACAGGTGAGCTGACTCAGCTTGCAGGTGAGCTGACTCAGCTTGCAGGTGAGCTGACTCAGCTTGCAGGTGAGGTGAAGAAGCTTGCAGGTGAGGTGACTCAGTTTGCTGTTCAGCTGACTCAACATGCATGTGCTCTGTCTGACTCAGATGCTTTATCTGTTAGCCGGCATTGTTACCTGTTATGAATGCCAATCCCTGCTGCCCATTCCTTTTTTTTGGACTGCTGACATGGCAGGCAGCCATTGGAGGGTGGCACTGTCTAGCCGTGAACGAGAAGGGGACTGCTTTCTCCTGGGGTGGGTCCGTCCGTCCTTGCCCTCCTGCACTTCCTCACTCGAGATTACTCCCTCACAGCCACAAATGCTCCACATTGCATTGCGTTGTATTTCATGCCATGCTGCCAGCTTGGTAGATTAGGGCCCACATAAACGGGATGGTCTCTTCGTGTATCTACTGTCAAAACGTGCTGGTGTTGTTGTTGTCTTGTCTCATGCGCCTCGCTTCCCTCTCGCTGAGGTGGCAAATGTGACGCCATATCGGCCAACAAGGTAACCATGTTACCTACCGTGTCATGTTATGTGGAACCGTGTCAATTACCAGTTACCTTGTTACCCATTATTCCCCCCCATCCTAGGTGGCAACGAGTATGGGCAGTGTGCATCCAAGGTGGTGGACAAGCTGATGTGGTAACCCTGTTACCATGTCACAGTGTTACCTGGTACCCCCTGTTTTACTCTCCCTCCCAGGTGGCAACGAGTACGGGCAGTGTGCAGCCAAGGTGGCAGACAAGCTGCACGGCAACAAGCTGAGCGCGCGAGACATCCTCTCGCCCTTCCCCTGCGTGCCCCAGCTGCGCGTCAAACAGGTGAGAGCGGTGCGAGCAGGTGAGAGGTGGGAGCAGGTGAGAGCTCTGTCCGCTTTGTCCCTCTGTCTGCTCTTCTCTCTCCTTTTCACTGTGTCGTCCTCCCCACTCTCGCTGGTGAGTCCCGCCTCTTTGTTTGCCTTACCGCTTTCATCTGCGCGCACCTCCACTACTCCATACCCTTATTCCCTATCCCACCATGACCCCATGCTCCGATACCCTATCCTTTCCTATGCCCCCATGCCCCCAGGTTGCGGCGGGCGGCACGCACTCAGTGGTGCTGACAAGGGAGGGCGAGGTGTGGGTGTGGGGGCAGCCCTGGCCGCCCGCTGATGCGTGAGTACAGGAGAGTGTGACTGGCTGTGAGTGAGTGCATGTATCACAGTGGGCTGTGAGTGAGTGCATGTATCACAGTGGGCTGTGAGTGAGTGCATGTATCACAGTGGGCTGTGAGTGAGTGCATGTATCACAGTGGGCTGTGAGTGAGTGCATGTATCACAGTGGGCTGTGACTTGCGACCTGCGACCTGCGACCCCATGCATCTCCAATCTTCCACCTCCATGTTCCACTTATGGACCTGTCTAGCACCCGGCCTTGCGGATGGACGGCCATGTGCTGCCGTGGGGCATGCCGTCACCTCTCGCCTTCCCCATCCCTCGGCCTGCTTTCCCCATTCCCATCCCCCATCCCCCTTCCCCTATCCCCCTTCCCCTATCCCCCATCCCCCTTCCCCTATCCCCCTTCCCCTATCCCCCATCCCCCCTCCCCCTCCCCACCAGGAAGCAGGTGTGGGTGCCGGCCAGAGTACCCGGGCTGAAGGGCATGAGGAGCATAGTGGTGGGCGCGTTTCACAACCTGGCGCTAAGGGGAGACGGGCGTGTGGTTGCGTGGGAAATTCTGTCGTCTCAATAGACACCTCTTCGCCCTCCCCATCCCACATCCCCCATCCCCCCCTCTATCGCCATCCCCATATCCCCCGACCCCCCCTCCTTTCCCAGCAAGCAGGTGTGGGTGCCAGCAAAAGTACCCGGGCTGAAGGGCGTGCAGAGCATAGCGGTGGGCGCGTTCCACAACTTGGCATTAAAGGGGGACGGCCGAGTGGTGGCATGGGGCAGCAACGAGTATGGGCAGCTGGGCACGGGGGACACACAGCCGCGCTCGCTGCCTGTGGAGTTGCCTCAACTCACCCAGGCTGATGTGGTGCGTGTGTGGTGGAGTGAGTAGGCTGGGTGGGTGGGAAGGAGTGGGTGGGCACAGGTGGGTGGTGGCATGCAGTATGGGCAGCTGGGCACGGGGGACATGCAGGCGAGCTCGCTGCCTGTGGAACTGCGGCAGCCGACCCAGGTGGATGTGGTGTGTGCTGCTTGCATGCGCGTCATGATGGCTCTAGGCAGTCTGCGTCCACCCCCACGTTCATTGTAGACTGCTTGCAATGTCAGCAGTGCTGCGTGTGCATGAGTCTCCCTTGAGGCACCTTGTGAGCCACCACCATCGCTTCCATTGCACAAGTCTCGCTTGAACTGACGCGGCGCCAGCAATCAGCACCACTTGCGTCGCAGATGGCTTGCTTGGGCCAGCACAAGCGCAAGCAAAATGGACCAAGCACAAGCAAAATGGTCCAAGCGCAAGCAAAATGGTCCAAGCGCAAGCAAAATGGTCCAAGTGCAAGCAAAATGGTCCAAGTGCAAGCAAAATGGTCCAAGTGCAACTCGTACTGATCGCTCGGATCCAACACTTGCAGCCGTGCAATAAGACAGACAGAACCAGAGACATGGATCTTCCGCTCGCCCATGCAAGCACCAGCACGCATGTGTGATTTGGTTTTGCACGAATGAGGTGTCTTGTACATCTGCCCTCCTCCTCCTTGCTGCAGTGTCTCTTGCGGTCACTGGCTCGCCCCTTTCCTTCCCTGCTCTTTGTGCTTCAGCCCTACCCTTCCTCATTATTCACCTTTACTCTTGCACTGCACATGCATGGCATGGCATGGCGTGGCATGGCATGGCATGGCATGGCATGGCGTGGCATGGCATGGCATGGCAGGTGGACATAACAGCAGGGGGGTGGCATTCCATGGCAGTCACTCGCTCCGGACAGGTGAGCAGCCAGCAGGCAGGTATGATGCAGTCAGGTAAGTCAGCTGCTAGCGCCAGACGGTTCAGGCTCGTGACTCACCAGATGGCTCATGGCTCATGGCTCATGGCTCATGGCTCATGGCTCATGGCTCATGGCTCATGGCTTATGGCTCAGGCTGCTACCTTCCCATACCCGCATCAGAAAGTGAGTTGTAGCCCCACCTTCCCAGACCCCTCGCTTCCCCTCCTCTCCTTTCCTCCCACTCCCTCATCGTTATCCATTTCATCATTTCCCCGTCAACCCTTGCCAACCATCCCCCATTACCGCTCACCATCCCCACTGCCTTTTGTCATCACCACTCACTGTACAGGTGTGGGCATGGGGGAGAGGGGAGCACGGGCGGATGGGGTTCGGCGAGGATAAGACAATCAAAGCCGTACCAACGGTGGTGACGCTGCTGGCGGGAGAAACAGTGGTGCAGGCCTCGTGTGGTGGCACACACTCCCTCGTTGTCACGCTTGATGGGCGAATGTTCACTGTGAGTCTCTGTTGGTGGGCGAATGTTCAGTCTTAGTCACAACTTGCTAGATTTAATCGCCTTACCTTTTCCCATACCCATTGCCCTCCCGTCCGTCCGAACCTCCCTTTCCAGTTCGGCAGAGTGGACGACGGCAGGCTCGGGCCAGCAGGCTCAGTAACAACAGGCGACCTGGTCAGAGTCCCTCTCCCAGGGGACCCCGATGCTACCTTCCACCCGGACGACCATCCGAACCTGCATAGAAGGCTCGGCAGCATCAGCCGCTCCCTCAGCAACTCCTCTGAGCAGCCAAGAAGCCGATGGCGGACGGCGTTTGCGGTGTGCGGTGGGCGGCATAATTTGGCATTATTGTGTCCGGAGGAGGATTTGAGTGAGGTGAGCTGCCATTTGCCATGGCATAAGGCACAGAAGGAGAGAGAGGGGAAAAAAGCGCAAGAGGGGCAGGTGCAAGGGGCTGGGGGGGCGGAGGCAGCAAGCAAGGCAGGGACAAGTGGATCGGAAGCAGGAGACGGCAGCACACAGCAGGGTGGAAGCAACGGTGATGGAAAGCGTGCAGAGGGTGCTGCTTCAATAGATGGTAGTGACACGTAGGTGGATGGAGGAGTTCCCGTAGCTCAGTGCAGTAATCCATATTAGCCTGAATGTGTCACACTCAGCCCTCTATTAGTAAGCATAATGAATGAATTTGCGGCCCCTTCTGTCAGAACTCCCATTGTCTCTCTTCGTATGACTTTGCATCAACATGAACAAGCACCAATATGCAAGTGTAACACACCATTCGGCCTCACATCACATCACAGCACAGCAGTAGTACCATCCCACACAGAAAAAAGCCAACGGTTCGAACACCTTGCTAGTTTCGTCCGTAAAGGTAACACCTTCTCAATAATTCATCTGGGCAACCACACTCATAGCATCATCCACCACCCACTCCAGGTCGCGATCAGCATTGACGCGCACCACATCCCACTCGTCGTCCCCCACAGCCAGCAGCGCCAGCTGTGAGGGCAGCAGGCAGGGCGGCATGAAGTGGCCCTCTGAGTGGTGGCGCTGGGCTAGCCTGTCTGCCAGCACATGGGGAGGCACGTCCAGCAGGATGAAGAGCAGGCGAGGTGCGCACGGTGCAGAGTGTTCTGTGCCTGTGCTGCTGGTGTGCTGCGGCTGAGCGAGACGGTTAGCGGGCAGGAAGGGAGCACACGGTGCAGCGGGACATGTGCCTGTGCTGCCACGACCATTGTGGTTGCATGACGCAGTGCCCGTTTCTCCCCTTCCACATGCACCTCCCTTGCCGCTGCTGCTGCTGCTGTTGCTGCCCTCGCTGGGCTGGCCGCATTGGCTGCTGACTGCTGCAGAAGCAGTACCACTGGCCCTTGCACCCCCTGCACCCATCAACACACTCTCTCTTTCCCCACATGCCTCACAGCCCTGCGCTTCCCTCCCTGCCCCCACATCCCCTGCCTCTGCAGTCCGCACATCCCCATCCATCCTGCACCCATCTCCCCACCTCAGCACGTTGCGATACGCGGGCGTGAGGGCAGAGCAGGCCAGCACCAAGGGGTGGCGGGGAGGGGGAGGGGGAGGGGGAGGGGGAGGGGGAGGGGGCGGAGGAGGTGAGGGGAAGAATGGCGGGGAGGAGCAGAGTGCAGGGGGGGGCGCGAGTGAATTGGCAGGGGTTTGACAAGTGTGCTGTGGGGGAGCATGTGTCTGGGAGCGCGGGCATGGAGAAGGACGAGGGAGAGGGAGCGCGTGCGAGGGGCAGAGCAGCGCGTGCAGGGAGAGCAGCCACGGCAGGCGGTCGGCGTCGCACAGGGGAGTGCCTGCCGCCATCTTGGCTGCGAGCCCGGAGGGGGGAGTGGGAGGAGAGGTGGAGAGGGAGGGGGAAGAAGGGGGTGGATGAGGTGGGGAAAGGGGAAGAAGGGAGCTATTGAAGGGGGGACAGAGGGGAAAGTGGGGGGGGGAAGAAGAGTAAGGGGGGGTGGGGTATGGTGGGCGCAAGCAGCAGCAGCCTGAGCAGGTGCCTGAGCAGTCAAGGGAAGTCACAGGCGGTGAGCGTGAGAGAGGGAGACGATGTGAGTCATTGTGGCTTGGGGCAGTGGAAGTGGTTCGGGGAGCGACGGTGCTACAGGGGGGGTGATGAGTAGCGTGCCCAATAAGCGGCTTCAGTCCCATCCCATCCCACCCCACCCCACCCCATGCCATCCCATCTACCTTTATTGCGCTGCGAGTGGAAGTCATCAGCGTCGTGAAAGTCCCACCCCAGCCTCTCCGCCACCCGGCGCCCCACGCTCCTGAAAGCAGCCGACCGATCACATTGGATGAAAAGATAATTAAAATAACAACGTTACAAACAGATAATTATACACCTAGAAGAAGTTCCTCAAGTCCAATCCGAGTCTCTCCGCAAGCTGGCATTCCGTGGCCCTGAGGAGACAAAGGTACAGGCGGAACGTTGGGATGGAGGAGTTCGAAGACGCGCCGCTGAGTTGACGTGCAACGAAGATGCCTCGCCGGGTTTAACACTACGCCGCGAAGCACGCGCGACGAGAACAGGCGCGACGAACGCACGGCGCTACCTCACGTTTTCCCGCAGCCGCTGGGACCGATGACGATGACCGCGGACAGGAAAGGCGACGGACGCGACTCCGCCATCGAAGGCTCGGCTTCGGTCGGTGGTGACGTGGCAGTGTACGCGAGGGAGAATGGCGGCAACTAAATGCTGGGAAAGTGGATGGCAGGCACCACTACGTTGGTTCAATCGGCGAACATCGTCTACTAATCGCTGAACGTCGCTCCGTAACGCGTTACAGCATGACACATATATAAGGAATTTTCTCTAATTCCTTAAAGCCCAAGTACAGCATGGTTGCTTTCAAGTTCAAGATTCTCGAACTTGAAATCGTCAAAAACAGGGTTACCCTACTTTGATTGAGGGAACTCTCGTGACTCTGGGACAACGCCTAGCGACACTCTCTCCTCATTGGCTTTTGTGCACAATCGCAAAACAGAACCGAACGTCGCTCAGGTTGGCCCACTGTTTGGCTCTCAAATATCTTGAACACCTACTCATAGTAAGTACTCATGATTGGCCTCGGCCTACTCCCTCACGTAAGTAGAAAGCCAGAGCGGCATCAGCTAGTTCCCTGACCGCTTTTTTTACGGCAACTCACGTCACTCATGCTGTCTCGCCAATAGCTGGGCAGCACAAGCCCAGTGTCACACACGATATTTACATTTTTGCCCAGTGTTACATTTTCGCGTTACTCACACGGAACGTGTGTCACAAACGAGTGCTTCACCATGCTACCCCACGTTTAGCGCGCGTCGTCACCCGCTCTCCCCCTAGCCACCCGCGCCCGCCCTCGTCACTTGCGCCTGCCCTCGTCGCTCGCGCCTGCTCCGTGCTTCCCCTCGGCATGCGCTTCTGTTCGTCACCCGCGTTTCCCTTCGTCACGCGCGTTTCCCTTCGTCACGCGCATTTCCTCTCGTCGCGCACGTGCCTTTTCTTCATGCTCGCTTCCCCTCGTTGCGCGCTCTCCTCCCTCGTCACGCGCGTTTCCCCTCGTTATGCGCTATCCTCCCCACGTCACGCGCGCTTCCCCTCGTTACGCGCACTCCTCCCCTCGTCACGCGCTCAACCATTCACTCGCGATCTTCCGTAGATCACTAGCTGAAGCCAACAGCACGCCCATCGTGTGTAGCAACTCCCCCATACGCCCTCGCTCCTTCCAGCCGCAGTGAGTGCATACTGATGTGAGGGGCAGAGCGGTAGGAACAGAGGGGGGTGGACAGCTGAGGGGGGGATGGTGTCACAGTGAAAGAATGATTGATGGCCGGGGGACAGGAAGGGAACGGGCGGGGGAGATGAGAAGGACAGAAGGGGAAGGACAAGGGGGAGAGGGGGAATGACAGAGGCGGAGAGACAGAGGGGGGAGGACAAATGTGGAGAGACAGAGGGGGAAGGACACAGGTGGAGAGACAGAGGGTGAAGGGCCGAGGGGGAGAGACAGAAGGGGAAAGACGGAGGGGGGGGAACAGAGGGGGAGGGGCAGAGAGTGAGAGACAGAGGAGAGCGGGTTCTTCCCTCACTCCTCCCCGTCGACCTCACTTACCCCTAGTTGTTTACACCCCTCTTTATTTCGACCAACCTCCCTTTCTCCCTCCAGCTCTGTTTACCCCGCAATCTATTCTCCTTTGCCTCACCTGCTTCCCCCCTCCCTCCTCCCTACTCCCCCCCTCCCTCCTCCCTGCTTTCCCCCTCCATCCTCCCTGCTTCCCCCCTCCATCCCCCCTGCTTCCACCCTCCCTCCGCCCTGCTTCCCCCCTCCCTCCTCCCTGGTTCTCCCCATCCCCTTCCCTGCTTCCCCCCATCCCCTTCCCTGCTTCCCCCCATCCCCTTCACTGCTTCCCCCCATCCCCTTCCCTGCTTCCCCCCATCGCCTGCCCTGCTTCCCCCCATCCCCTACCCTGCTTCCCCCCAGCTCCAATAACGTATATTTATGTTGTTGCTGTTAAAAAGCTCGTTGTTGGATATCCGGGCGGAGGTCTCGGTCTGCCGTTTCGGTTGATACTGTCTCCTCCGCTCTATCTGTTGGGAACGCGTCCTGGCCTTCACTGGATGGGGCGTGGGCACGGCGATGTTACTTTGAAAAAATTAGAGTGTTCAAAGCAGGCCACGTTCTGAATACATTAGCATGGAATAACCGCATAGGACTCTGGTCCTATTGCGTTGGTCTCCAGGACCGGAGTAATTATTAAAAGGGACAGTTGGGGGCATTCGTATTTCATTGTCAGAGGTGAAATTCTTGGATTTATGAAAGACGGACCACTGCGTAAGCATTTGCCAAGGATGTCTTCGTTAATCAAGAACGAAAGTTGGGGGCTCGAAGACAATTAGATACCGTCATAGTCTCAACCATAAACGATGCCGACTAGGGATTGGTGGATGTTGCATCCACGACGCCACTGGCAACTTGAGAGAAATCAAAGTCTCTGGGTTCCGGGGGGAGTATGGTCGCAAGGCTGAAACTTAAAGGAATTGACGGAAGGGCACCACCAGGTGTGGAGCCTGCGGCTTAATTTGACTCAACACGGGGAAACTTACCAGGTCCTGACATAGTAAGGATTGACAGATTGAGAGCTCTTTCTTGATTCTATGGGTGGTGGTGCATGGCCGTTCTTAGTTGGTGGAGTGATTTGTCTGGTTAATTCCGTTAACGAACGAGACCTCAGCCTATTAAATAGTCATGCGAACGCTCGCGTTCGCAGCCGACTTCTTAAAGAGACGGTTGGCATTTAAACAACTGTAAGCTTGAGGCAATAACAGGTCTGTGATGCCCTTAGATGTTCTGGGCCGCACGCACGCTACACTGATGAATTCAACGAGCTCACCCTTGACCGAGATAGGAAATCTTTGAAAATTCATCGTGATAGGGATAGATCGTTGGTCGATCGATGTCTGCACTACCTCGCTGAAACCCGTGACGCCGCTCTGGAGTTCGGCGGCGGACCAGAATCGCTGTGTCTGGTCGTCTATGCAGATGCCGACGACGCTGGTGACAAGCAGAACAGGTCGAGCACGGGCGGCTACGTTT